GCCCCCGGCCGCCTGCCAGGTGCAGCCCGGCCGGCTCTGGGCACTGCTGGGGGGACCCGGCTGCGCGGGGCAGTCAGGTTTGGCTCTCTTGAAGGGGCTGCTGCAGGGCTGGGGCTTGGCGTCGGCGGCGTCGCGGGCGGGCAGCTTCCGCGGCGGCAGGCAGTAGGTATGCATGTAGCGGATGAGCTCCACCACCGAGTGCATCTCCCCCTCGCAGGAGAACTGGCTGCTGGAGCCATCCTCCGCTGAGGAGGGGGGGGGCACCGAGTCGCCGGAGCTCAGCGAGTCCTCGCTGGAGTCACTGTCATCCTCGTGATGGGCACAGTTGCCCAGGGATGGGTGGTGGCGGCCGCTGGGGCACTCCTCAGGTGCCCGGGGGGCTTTGGTCTGGGGGCACGGGGCGATGGAGGTGAGGTGCCGATGCAGCTCAGTGCAGCTGCGGCTCTGCGCCTGCGGGACACTTGCCCTCCTGTCCCGGGGACCCTCCACCTTCGGAGAGGAGAGAGGAGAAAGTCAGCCCCGAGCCCTGCAGCCATGACCTGATGCAAGTACCAGGCATGGGGGGAGAAGTTCCCCGGGCTAACAGAGCTGCCCCGCATCCTTGAATCCCCCAGTCCCAGCCCACCAGCATCCCGACCTGCCTGGGGGTCAGCCCCACACCCCAGGGGGTTTCCACCAGGCATGTGGGGCCAGCAGCCCAACTGCTGCCCCTCCAGCAGCCAGCACGCAATGATGCTCCTTCTCCCTGGGAGGGATTTGCTGCTCTTCCCAGGCAATCTAATTTGCCGGGCCTAATGCACCGCACAATTACTATTAGCCAAGTAGAAAAATATTTGATGGCAAATTCTGCTGGGTTTCAAGAGATTAGCTTAAGTGACGGGGTCAGCTGTGCAGTGTGGCCTGCAGCTCGCCCCAGCCGACGGCTCCTGGCTCAGGCTGTGAGTCAGCTGGGAGGGGGGCAAGGGAGCGGCCAGGGAGCACGCAGGCCTTTCACAAACTAGCGCTCAGGGAAGCTGGGAGAGGCCTGACCCCACTGGGTCCAAATGAGATCGAGACATTTCTCAGCCGAGCATGAAGCCCGAAGGTTTTGCTGAGCCCGGACTGCAGCCCCCGCACAGACAGGGATGGGAACGCCACACGCTGCTCTGCCAGCGGTGATGGTCCCCGCTTGTCCCCAGCCCCTGGCCCAGCTCAGAGGCTGCCCACGCTCCCCAAAACCGTCCTTCAGTGACCTGCTTTAGGACAGTTCCTGAGATGGGGCTGGGATGGGCTCGAGCTCTGCCCACTGAGGTAGTACCTTTGCACAGGGCCGTGCGGGTCGGGACTTAGGGGTCCCCGGGCGCCGGGTGCTCCCGTCCCGCTGAGCCTCGCAGCTCGGAGGCACGTGCGATGGAGAGAGGAGCAACTTCTTCAGCTGCAAAGAGAAGCGGCAAGAAAAGGAGTCGGCATCACAGCAAGGGCATCACAGAAAGTGCCGGCGGGGCCGCAGCCCCTCGGCTTGCGCCTGCACTGGGCACGTCCATTGCTGAGCATCCGACCCAACAATGGGGGAAGAAAAATAAAAAGGCAGGGAGGCGTTTCCCACCTCCCCGTGGCTGCGGGGGCAGATGCCTGGCCGCGCGCAGCCCTGAGGGGATCGGGACTGTCTCCACAGCATTCACCCATGTCCCCAGGGACTCCCAGCAGGTCGGGGCGATAGGGACATGAGGGAAATTCCTTCCCAGGGGCACCCCCGCTCCTGTTAGACACACAGGAGCTGTCGTAGCATCCAAACTTCTCACTCCATCAATTCTGCCCTTAGGTGACAGAGGCTTTACATTGGCATGAGTGATGGGTTTGGACAGCTCGTTTGGGTCCCCGTGCAAGGCTCATTTAGCCGAAACATCCAGAGAGGCCCTCGACTCATTAATGAGCTTTCAAGGCATTTTGCAGATGCAAGGCCTTGTGGGACCTGTTGAGGATCTTCCCCAACATTCTCTGTCAAGCCCATGGGCGGTGGGAGTGGGGTTTTCCCTGAGCTACCCACAGTGCCGCCACTTCTCATGGCAAGGTCAGCATAACATTTTTCTTCTACTCAAAACCATTTTTGGTTAGGGGAAAAAAAACCAAACCCCACACCCAGCAATATTTCGTATTCCACCCATGTCGCACTAACAAGCAAAGGCGACAACAACTCAACAGCAAGACGACTGCGTAGGCACCGGGGGACTGCACAGAGGAGACAGATCTGGGGCCCCCGTGCTGGCTGGCAGGCATGGAGCCCCGGGGCAGGCACAGGGGGTTTTAAGGGGTGATAGAAATAGGGGGTGCCCGGGTCAGGGTCTGCTGGGAACATCAGCTGGGGCACCCACAGCTTTAGGTGTGCAGCTCCTGTTGGTGGAAGCAACCAGCAACTTTCCCCCCCCACCCCTGCAACGTATACATCCTATATATACACATACATATCGTGTGTGATATATACCCCCCGCGCAGGGCGTGGGCGGTGGAAATGCACACTCTCACCACTGGATGTCACTCCTTCCCGCCACAGCCCCGGCTTTTGGGGAGACCCCGGGGCCAGGCTGGGGGTCCCTGGCGGGGACCATGAGCTCCAGGAAGGAGCGGGCTGGGTGCCCCTGTCCCAGGGGACCTCCCGGGAATGACGGTGGTTTGCAGCAAATGCTGCCAGTTAGTCTGGGCCAGGAGGGGGAGTGGGGCTGGAGCCCCGATATTGCAGTGAACAAAGAGGGATGCTCCAGTCACCAGATCTGTAGGGACTGGAGGCCACACAGCCCCTGAGGGGGTTGTGGTGGAAGGCATGGGGGGGGCCAAACCCTCCCGCTGAAAGCTGAGGGCATGGGCTGTCCGACACTCCGGCCAAGCCCTCTCTGTCCCTCCTGCGAGAGCAGCAGGGAGCTCGGCCCCAAGGCAGAGCCGGAGGGGAGCAGCCACCGTTGCTCATGGGCATGGGGCTGGGATGTGCTAGGGAGACCCCCGGGCAGCCCCACATCCGCGCGTCCGATTAAAAGCAGGTGTGGGTCTTGCCAAAGCAGCCACCACCCCTTTGACACCCGCCCCCACCCCCTTCATATATATATTTGTATACACACAGCTTGTTCCCGTGAGGATGGTGATGGAGGTGACAGCAATGATGCAGAACATGTATACGTATACAATACAAGTATATGCTTTGGTATTGACGATTAAAGAGTTTTAAGCCTAGAATGAAAAAATTCAGACCTTTGCTTCCTATCATACCCATGCAGCCGGCTTATCAGGGGCTCATCCAAATCCACCTTAAACAGTAGGAAGTGGGTTCTTACTAGAGACAGCTCATCAAACTCGGGGGCCGGGGGCGGCCCCCCCGTGACCGGGGCGGTGGGTTTGGGGGAGGGGGCAGGCGAGGTGTAGGCATGGTTGAGCGTGTCCCCCTCTTCCATAGTTCGGAAGGCAGCCAGGCCCATGTCATCTCCCTGTATATCATCCAATGTCTCGGTGAGGGCTGCCAGCAGTGCTTCGTTCTCGCTGTCTATTATCTGAAAGGAGCAGGCAGAGAAGAGGGGGAGTTAGTCTGGGCAGAGGGACCAGGGGATGCTGGGCAGGGGGAAGAGGGGCAGGCAGTGCCACACCAGCACCCACATTTCCCGGTGACCCTGCAGGGGACCTGGGGGAGCCTCTCCCCAAAGGAGCACTAGGATGGGATCAGGGGGAGAGAGACCCAACTGGAAAAGGAGCATCAGTCTGTCCCCCTGCACCCCCAGCAGGAAAATAATGAATCAGGGTATCTTCTCTCCCCATAGTTGCCTCCACCCCACCATGAGGCTAACAGCAGCAGATAAAGGACCTGTGATTAAAAGGCTTCTTGCCCAAATCCTCCTGACTCTGGGCTGCAAGCTCCCAAGTGAGCCAGGAGTTCCTTCTCTTTGGTCCTCCTCCATCGTATTCTGAATGTAAACCATGTCCAACAAGAAGCAGGCTACCATCAGTTATAAAATTAGCGCAGGGGTAAATTCAGACTCACAAGGAGGACTGTTGACTGCACACAGCCTCCCATGTTTCTCTCATCTTGTTTGAAAATTAAATATCTTTTGTTCCGTGCCCTAACCTTGCTCGCAGTTACCAGAGCAGGCTCCAGGGAAAGGCAGCAGGATGCTCCATTTTTGGCTCCATTTCTTTTCCTCCTGTTATTGGCACGAGACCACTGTGCATACAAGTTCAGTGGGATACATTTCATCATACTCCATTGCTCCTAATGGGCCTGTCCTTTGCATTTCTTTTCTGTTTATCTTTTCCCCAGGAAGTTCAGCGGAAAATATGTATCTCGTGATGTAGGCCCTCAGCTGGACTGGACCATTTTCAAGCACAGCATCAGCATAGCATAAAAGCCAGAGGGTTGTTATTATGTTCAGGTTAGAAAATATTGGGGCTTTTTATTTTTTCTCCCCTCCTTGTTTAAATAAAAATCCTCTTCCCTCCCAAAATGTAACCCAGAGTCGGTGACTAGTGGGCACCAGTGGATCGCAACCTTGTCTGAGGGGGTAAGGGCCTGGGTGCTGCTCAGGAGGGCATGGTGACCCCAGCCCCCAAGGACAGGGCACATCCAGGGCACAGCATGAGCTTTGGGAAAGGTGAGCGGGCTGCCCAGCCTGCTCTGCCCCTGGTCCCCGGGCAGCTTCTGCAGCTCCCTGCCTCCAACCTGCCTGCGCTGTGCTCACAGCCCTGCCCTGGCGCCACAGCTCTGCGAGATGCTCAGCTCTTCTGCAAGGAGAGGCAAAAACGTGCCAAGGGACAAGGACCAGCCCTGCCGGTGCCCAGGAGCATCCTCTGCCCCGGCACCACTTTGTACCGCGTGGTCCCAGGTGCCAGCACAGTGATGGGGCCATCCCAGCACAAAGGCTAGGAGAGAAACCAGTTGCCCTCTGCCAGAGGGACCCCAGCCCCACACACAGGGAGGATGCCAGAGGTGGAGAAAGGGGCTGCTTTCTGCTCCTGGGAAATAAATATACCTGCCCCACGCCACAGCCCTGAGACCCCCGCGCTGCTGCCCCGGCACACCCTGCCATCCTGGGAATTGAATGGGACATGCTGTGCACTAGCTGTAGTTCCCTTTTAATAATACATCACAGGAGTGCTGGCTCAGCAGCAGTCCTCTGCTCGTCTGCCTCCTCATTAGCCTTACTCTGTTTGCTCCATTTACAGCCAGCACACAAATTAATGGAGCACTAATCAGCTGGGGAGGAGCTATTAATAGCTGTGTGGGCCCCCTCCTTCTCCCGCCCTCCCCCTAGCCTCCATCCCCGGAGTCCCCTGTGCTAGGAGGATGGGGGTACCTGGAAGAGCTCGGAGTCGTCGGTGCTGTACTGGCTGGAGTCGGTCTCCGAGTGCTCCCCACACCACTGCAGCTCACTGAAGCAGCTGGCCGAGTCAAAGTCGCTGGCATCCAGCTGAGACAAATCAATCTCAGGGAAGTCGGAGTAGAGGTGCTCCTCACCAGACACCTCATACTGAGGAGAGAAGAGAAAGGTGGTAAGCCCACTGCCATGCCAGAGGGGCAGGCAGCAACAGGCAGCAGCAACCACCTGTGGAGACAGCCGGTCTCCCCTCACGCTGTCACCTCCGCTCGATCCCATTACTCAGACCCTCTTTTGAATCAGCTTTAGCAAATGGCTCCAGGAGCAATTACACGGCAGTGGAGAGCACAGAGAGTACCTCTTCACTGCACATCCTGCAAATCAGTTTGCACAGCCTGGCACTGGCACTGCTGGTTACTGAAAGCCACCCCACAACTGCCACCAAACCCCCCCTCTTGTGTCCCATGCTGTGGCAGGCGTCAAAACAGCAGCATCTGCACGGGAAGAGCCTCATCCCCTCTGGCGAGCGGAAGCTCAAAGCACAGCACAGCTCAGACTGCGGCGGTAAAGCAGCTGCTGGTGCTCTTAGGGGAAATCATTCCTGCCTTTGGTGCCCTAAGGGTGACATCCAGGGTTATCCCGCTGCCCTGGAGATCAGCGATAACAGAGCGAGGCAAGAGGCTTGGGCGCACACAAGACAGCAACACACGGGGCCAGGCTCCAGTGGGCGGCCTCACGCCTGGTTGGTGTGGCTGCTCCGTAATCTGTCCCTGTCCTTGCCACATGGCACTGAATCACTTGGGGACAGTTCCTCTGGGGAATCTGCACATCCGAAGGCAGCACCAAGGCAACACAGACCCTGAGACCCGCATTGCACACACAGGATGAGAAAAGCAGCATGGAAACGAATTGATGTCTGGGTGCACACGGGGCAATGCGAGCTCTAGGAACTGAGCTAAAAATCTGTTTGACCACAGAAAGCAGCTGGAACCTGCCTCGCTTCTGCCTGGCTCCCAGCTGCTGCCCGGCCACAAAGCCCCGTGGCTGCATCCAGCACCCGCGGGAGCGAGGGCTGGCGCTGGCATGGCCTTGCCTGCACTGCTGCTCGCTGCCTGCACCAAGCCCTCGGGTCATGCTTGGTTTTGCCCCCGATGTCCAGGTTCAAACGTGGCAGGGAAAGGTCTGGTGCGACTCCTCCCGGTATTGGCTGTCCAGGGGGAGTTTTCTGGCAATGAGGGAAGCAAGTTTATTTACAGAGCAAATGGATTTTGGGGCAGGCAAATATCTGAGCACGTGAGAGAGGCTGCAGGGGCAGGAGAACGTGGGGGCCTCCCCTCCAGAAATGCCCTGGAAGGGTCTCCTCTGAAACTCAACGGGAAGGAAAAGGGATTTCAAACTGAGCTGCAGGAATGGAAAAGACAGTGGTTTCTCTCTTTTTCTTGACTTTTTTTTTTTAATTGGGATAATCTGGGATTATTGATTGTGTTCCCATAGGCTGAGAAGCCTGTGTGCCAGTGCTTCCCACCAGGTTTAGGATACCCTGTGCCACACCAAAGGACATTCCTGTGTACACAGCCCCCCCCTATTTTGCATTTCTCATCTGCTTTCTGCCCCGTTCCCGCCCAGGGGTGGCAAGGAAAGCGTGAGTGGTTTGGAGGATGCAGCAAGGGCAGGAGAGAGTGGCTTCACAGCCCAATAGCAAGCCAGTGCTGTGTCCCAGCAGCAGACCACTGGCCTGGCCGTCCCCATGGCCACAGCAGAGCTGGGGGCTGCGGGGAACTGCTGACCCTGACCCAGCCCCGCCGGTGTGGGCAAACCCCACAGGGGACCGGGGAGCTGCCCCCGTGCTTGGGGGGATGCTCTCCCCAGTGTCTTCCATCCGCCCTGCCGCTGGAGGGAGGTGTATCAGGTAGACATCTATGAGCGTGGTGCCGCTAATTGTATCGGGCACAAAAAAACATCTATGCAACGCCCTGAACAGCTCTGGGATCCGGATACTCCTCGTGGGCCCTCCAAGTCTGGGGCTCTTCAAACCTGCCCTGTGAAAACCTTTGCTCCCCAGGTGGTCAGAGCACATGTAGCAGGTCAAGGGTCCCTGTCCTCATCACTGCCAGCTCTAGGGGACACAGATGTTACCTTTCCCCCAGCTCTCCTGTCCTCTCTGCTCAGGGGCATTCTGGGCTGCTCTGGGATCAGATGTCCTTTGGCCTTTCAGATGTGTCCCTTACCTGCTGTGGATTGTCCCTGCTTTCCTGCCACCGCTCTTGCGCCTGCTCCAGAAGAAATCTTGCAACAACTTTGGCTCCCCCTTCTCCCCAAATCTTCCCATGGGAACACAGGCAAAGGCTTTTATTTTTAGAAAAGCCATACATACATATATATATGTGTGTGTGTGTGCGTTCAATTAAAAATAGCAAAGCAGTCAAATTCTCCTGCTCCTTTTGATATGCCACTAGGGAAAAGATCCTGGTGCTGAGATCACAAGGAGCAGCTGACACCAGTGCTTGGGACATCTTTTGATCAACTCCACAGATGTGACAAGTCCCCATTGGCAACAGGGCTGGGTAAAAATAAACTGCAACCTAATGCTGCTGAGCTGCCCTCTCTGGGCACCCCGGAGGCAGGAGTGCCCCGGCACTGCCATGCTGCGTGCAGCCATCCCAAGGCAGTGGTTGGCAGCGGATGCTCCCAGGTTCCCAGCTAGCACGGGTCAGGACTGCCCAAAAACTCTGCTCTGCCTGCATCGGTCCCCCTCCTCCTTGGAAAAAGTGAGTAGAGCCTTTCCTCAGTGCAGCTGCCCACAGGGGCACCTTGCAGGGCATCCTAGCGCGAAGCTGCAGCTCCAGCCAGCCCCCTCTGCTAGAAAGGGTCATTTAACTAGCCCAGCCACCAAGGACTTGAGTCTCTGGAGGGAATCCATCACTCTGAGCACCACTAGCCCGGCACCGAGCGCTGAGAACAGAGCCCCTCTGGGCTGGCCGCAAGGGTGGGGGGAGGACCCAGCCCCCCTGCCCGGGTAGGGAGTGGCAGTGATGGGGAGGCTGCCTGTGGGCACTGGACCTCATCTGCTCTGACTTTCCCTTTTCCCACCCTTTGCATTTCCTGCTGCCTTGGGAGAGGAGTGAACTTTTGTTCTAATTTTACTCGGGAGTTTGTAGGAAGATCAGCCATGGGTTCTTGGTGTGCAGCCAGCAAACACCCATGGAGACATGCTCAAAAATTCAGAGGCATCCTCCAGCCCAGACACCTGGCCCGTGCACGCTGCAGCATGGCCGCGACTAGAAAGCTGCCGGCAGCTCGTTGCGACTTGTCTGATGAATCCCTGCTCCGGGGAAGAGGGATGCCCGGGCAGCTATGTGGGTGCCCCCATGCCTCCTCCTTTGGGGGAGCAGGAGCCCAAGCCTGGGCATCCCCTCTGGCAGCAGGAGCGCCCTGCAGCAGCACCACATGGGCAGCTGCACCTGAAAGCTGAAGCTAAAAGGTGGAGGGCATTTGGGGGAACGGCCTCCTTTCAGAGACATCCTCCTCGGCTTTCTTTAAAGCATGAACCAACTCTGACCTCAGCCCTAGCAGAAATGCAATTGCAATTACAGGACAAAGAGGCAGCTGATACTCGCTTGCATGTTGTAAGGAGCTTCGCCTATACAGAGGCTTTGCTTGCTGGGAGGACAGAGCATTAACGTTTTTATTCATTTACTGCTGAGCTCGGACAGCCCTTCCCTGCTGCGAGAGGTTTATAACTTCAATCGTGGGAGCAGAGGTTGCCCCGGGAGGCCGGCAGGGACCCTCGCACCGAGGGTTTGTGCTCGTTTCGTGCCCCTGCCAAGGCTGGCCAGACCCAGCAGCAGCCATGCTGTGTGTGCCCAGGGAAAGCCTGGAGATCAGGAGGGCTCTCTGCCCGCCGTGGCTGCACCGCCCCACTGCCAGCCCCACCATCCATGTCAACCACAGCGGATCTGGCAGTAGCGAGAAAGTGCAAGGGACAGTCTCCAAACCAGCAGTCAAGGACATCCAGAGGTCACCTCGCCAACTCTCCTGTCCCGGGGAGCCTCGGCTGCGCCTAAACGTTTCCAGACAAGTGCCAGCGGGGCCTCTCCCTAAGCACTGCAGTTGTGCAGGGGCTGGCTCCCCCCCAGCCTGTGCCTGTGCCTTCTCCTGGAAACCCCACGTGAGCAAATCAGTCTGAGAGCTTCTGGTGGCTCCTCGGTCAGTATCCCTTTGTCTCCCAGGGCTGCGAATGGAAGAGCTCCTGGGTGCTCTGGGGACTGCACCTACCAGGGCACCTGCTGCTCCGACTCCCCGTCCCTTTGCAAAGCCCCTGATCTTTGCCCTTCCTGGGGCAGTGGCAAGGCGAAGCGGGATGAGGAGCTGACATGGGGGTTAGCTCCATCTCCCTGCCTGATCGTGAGGTTGGCCGATGCGGGCAATCGTCTCTAGTGTCCCCAGCAGCTCCAGCATGTGTCCTGGGTTGGACATGCAGCAGAGTGAGGGCAGCCACTGGCTGGAGCCACATCCAAGGATGCCCCATTGAGCACAGCTCAGTGCTGGCTCCCGACGTCGTGGGGATGGCAGGTGGTACATTTCCCCTTTCAGGTCTTTCCCCTGCTTTGGAGCAGCGTTAACTCTGGTGTGGGAGCATGTGAGGTCTTATCTCTGCAGAGACATGAGGTTCCTCTCCAAGCCCAACTCTAATTCAAATATTGGATTAATGAGACAGGAAATGTTTTCCTCTTTTTCAGTGTCAACTTGGGCTCCTCAGACTAAACTCCCCAGTTAGTGGGGCTGGAGAGGCCAGCTGGGAAGCGGGCTGCCGGCTCCCCCGGGCAGCTGTACCCAGCGAGCCCACCAAGAGCAGACCTTGGCTCCATGTGTGTGCAGCCAGCTTGCACGGGGAGTGGGCAGCGCATGGCCCTCCTGCCTGCCAGCCTGAAAACAGGCACCTGCCACCTGGAGTTCAGCAGCCTTCAGGCAAATGCTGATGCTTTGCGGTTTTGCCTTCCCTGCAGCAAGCCTGGGAAAGAAGCAAAGGGGCGATGCCACCTCCGGACACGGTCTTGGAGGAACTGCAGCCCTGCCGCCAGGAAATAGCAACCTAAACCAGGGCAAGCAAGAGAGCTCAGCTGGCCGTTGCCTGCGGTGCTTAACTGGCTCAG